TGTGTGTGTGTGTGTGTGTGTGTGTGTGTGTGTGTGTGTGTGTGTGTTTATCTGCATGAAAGCCAGAAAAGTGTACTCGGTGTCCTGAAACTGGAGTTACAGGCAGTTGCAAGCTGTCTGATATGGGTCCTGGGGACACTATACAGGCTCTCTGCAGAGCTATAAGCACTCTCAACCACTACGCCATCTCTCCAGGCCTTCTTTCCTCTGTTTGGTACATCCTGTCTATCATTCATTTTGTAATGTGAGTGTTACTTTTATGAATACAACAGTTTTTGAAATATTGCTGAGGATTTTTAACACCTTGAGATTCCATGCCTTGAACTGTGTATCCGGAAGAGTCAGTTTTGCATTTTATCATCTCAGGTTTTTCTAGTGATACTGAAGGTTCAAGTAAGGGATTTTTAGCCAGACAGGTTTGGAGACAGGTCTTATCATTTTGCTCTAAGACCTGACTGGCCCAAGCCCCCACTTGACACCAAGCAATGGCTCTAAATACAGATAGCAACATTCAGGCAGAAGATGAGTATCAAAGTAATGCTTAACATTAGACACTAAGCCTAATGCTTCCATTAGACACTAATGGAAGAAGGAAAAAAGTGTGCACGTGTCCTTGAAGAAGACTCTATTCTTGTCTACCAGCCTTGACAGAGAGGTAGGTCCAACCTTCAGAATCTCCTGCCTGGGAATGGTGCCACGTCACAGTGAGTGGATGTTTTTACCCCAATTAAATAATCAAGTTAATTCCCTATGAAATGCTCACTGGTCAGCCTGATCTAACTAGTCTCTCATTAAGAATCCCTTCCTTGCTGATTCTAGATAGTGTCAAGGGAACAAAAGTACCCAATACAGTGTTCAGTCACTATGTGTTTCTTGAAAAATACACACACACACACACCATTTAAATCCATAAATGTTACTATACATATTCACAGCCATTGCTAAATTTGAGTCATCTGGAAGCCCAACTTAGCCAATTGCTCATTATTCTGGAACAAAGTGACCAGTCTTGCCTTCAGAACCACAAGTCTAAAACTGCTCACTTGCTGTAAGTATTATCTCCTTAAAAATAAAATAAAAAATAATCTTCAAGATCCATACACATATATATGTACATACATACACACATATGTGTACATATGTACATGCACACACAAAAACAAGCATTCTACCACAGTATTCAAACTTTTCTGCTTTATATAATATACTTGTATTTTATAATTTGCCAGAAGTAATTCCAATGAGCTGCTGCTGCTGATGGTGATGATGACAACTCCAATGAAATCATTCCTAAAACTCCTATAATCTTTTTTAATCAGAAGTAAACTCTTTCTAAATACAAACTTCCAAGAGGCTGAGAAAACCTGCTGAGCCCACACACACGCAGTCAGTCATACACACACACACACACACGCAGTCAGTCATACACATACACACACACAGAGTCAGTCATACACATACACACACACAGTCAGTCACATACATACACACAGAGCAGGGTCTAGGATTCAGATCTGCCCTTTCCTTGCTCATGAAAAGTAAACCTTCTGTGATACTGGAACAAAGAAATCTGGTTCCCATCCAAGTAGTTCTCATATATGGGACCCAAGATCTCTCTAAATACCACACCTGGCCTTTCCCTGTCACTCTCTACACTCTCCCAGAGCCTTCTACATACTGAACAGTTTCTATCTTCATGTTCACAGTGATGGCCCCCAAATCTCCAATACCCATCCAGATCTGATATCGATGCCCCTGTATATAACGAATGAGCTGACATCTTCATATGTAAGGGGAAGTAACGAGGTCCACCATCTTTCTGTATAAGTCACTACAGAACCCACACCTCCATTCCCCGTCCAGCCACTCACAAGGCTCGGCTCACTAGCAAAAGAAACAAAAAAGAACTTCAGTTTTACACCTGCTTTACCAAATACAAACGGGACAATGTTTATACATAAATTAATCTCTCTCACTGGCATCAAACTCAAGTCAATTTTTTCCCTTCAAGTTAATAAAAAATAATTAGGACTTACTTAAATGGTGTAAACAAAAACGGTAAAGTAGTTTCTTTTTTCTGAGTCATTTTCACCTGAGAACCAAGCATGAAAATACTTATTATATTATAAATGAGAAAAAAATAATGAATTTCATTCTGAAATATAAAGATCAATTAAAATGCCTCTTTGAGGATGATTAACTTTTGTAGAAATAAATGGAATTTTGTGTTATTATATTGTACTGTTTTATAAATATTTAAAGAAAAATTAAATAACATTTTACTATCTCAGTAAGCTGAAAATTAATTACATCAATCTTGCAAAAATAGCACACTATAATGTAATTACAACAATCTTTCCTTAACTCTGAAAATAAAGAGAGGCAAAGTTTCAGTCAGAGAATCATGTCTGCAATGCTGTGTTCTCTAATCTACTTCTTTTGGGCACATTCCAATAAATAAGGGTTTGGCTTGTAGTCTTTATAAGCATGTACAGCAATCTTATAGTAAGTGATACTATTCAAAGGCAATTCTATGCACTCTAACTGACCCAAAAACCTGCATTTCAGAAATAAAAACTTTATGACACTAGACAAATATTCAAATCCTATGATACTAAGTTATAGGAAACTATTCATTAAAATATAAAATCAATTTTACTTAACATATTTAAAAATTATAGTACAGTTCATTTGTTTATTTTTTCACCTTGAACTGTTCAAGAATCTGTACTGCATTGGTAAACATGCTCTCTGCTTTGAAGAGACCAGTGTTGTTAAGATAACCCACAGGAAGTATTCCCTAAAAAACAAAACATAACAAGTATTAAAGAAACTGTGGTGTTTCGATTGTAAAACAAGCACCGCTCCATAAATCTAGTACTTCTGAGGCCAAGGTGGGGGTGGCAAGTTCCTGGCCAGCCTGAGCTACCGAGGAAGAATCTTGTTTCAATGGAGAAAACAAAGAGCTAGAGAGAACTCAGCAATTAAGGGCATGGACTGCTCTTTCACTGAACATCAGTTCAATCCCAACTCCCTTGGTGGCTTAGGACCATGTTTAAAGTCCAGTTCCAGGGACACCCTCTTCTGGTTTCTGAGAGCATCAGGCACTCATCTGGTACACAGACACACATGCCAGCACAAAACTACACATTCATAACATTTAAAAACTAAAGAGTGCTTACTGCTCAGTGGTTAAGGGAGTTTGTTACTCTTCCAAAGGACAAGGGTTCAGTGTCCAGCATTCCCATTGGGTAGCTTACAAATGCCTGAACAGGTGCACACATGTGGCACATGTGTGTGTGTGTGTGTGCATGCGCACGCGCGCGCGCACACACACATACACACATTAAACTAAAAAAATAAACAGAAACAAAACAAGATACACAGAAAAAATAAATGATTGGATTAAATGGAAATAAATTTTAAAGCTATAGCAAAAATTAATTTTCTCACACAGCAGAAATAATGAATAAACAAATGAGATGAATTAAAGTCAATTAAAGTTAAACTCTGACAGATTACTGCTGTGGTTTGTACCCTTAATGTTCCCAATAAGCACATGAGTAAAAATTTGGTCCCCAACAAGGTGCTATTGGAAGATGACAGAAGAGTGAAGAGATAGAACCTAGCAAAAAGTGACAGAAACTTTAGGGGTGGTCATTTGGTTCCTAGGGACACATCCTATTATAAGACTAGGACATCTTAGTCTTTTTGTTTCTCTGTCACAAGGCAAGCAATTTTGGTCTTGGTCTGCTACATACTCCAGTCACAATGTGTCAGACTGAAACCTTTAATCCTGTGACCCAAAAATAAACATGTTTTGTTGTTTGTTTTTTGAGGTTTTTTTCATAAGTTAATTACTAGGAAATTTGTTATAGTGATGGAAAGGTGCCTAACACAACTATGTTGGTCATACTGTTACATGCTTAGTGAATTAAGTGCACAATACACAAAGAATAACCACTGTAATGGTCACTGTTATTTTTGCCTTTTTTTTAAGGCAAAAAGGACATAAATAAGACACATATGAGACATAAAGATATTCAAGAGTGAAATTAACACACACTTATTGCAGTTAAGATCCTATTACTTAAATTTCTGAATTATGTTCTATTTTTAACATAAATTTGCCTAGAAAGTACAGATGGTTGTAGCTTTCACTATTTGAACCCTTTTTTTTTTTTGGTGGTGGTGGTGGTGGTGGTGGTGTTTTCAAGACAAGGTTTCTCTATGTAACAGCCCTGGCTGTCCTGGAACTCACTTAAAGACCAGACTGGCCTCAAACCCACAGAGATCTGCTTGCCTCTACCTCCAGAGCCACCATCACCACCCTGCTCGGACCCATTCTTAGCACCAATACTACTTCCTGCTGAGGGTCTTCCGCTCTGAATAAAGCATGGTGGAACTGTAACCTGAGGCCCTATTCTCCTCTGTGGAAGGGTAAGCAAATACCCAAGCCAGACAATCTGGATCTGCCTTAGGAGCACAGCCATGCAGGGCCCTCTTGGTTCCTACTGATTTCCAAACATGATTTTCAAGCATCTATGTGATCTACAAATCTTCTCAATAATTTCTCCTTTAAATGGACTCAGTTTCTGTGCTTACAATCAAATGTTACACACATGCATGTGATTATATATATAATCATACATGGAGAGATGGCTCAGAAGTTCAAAGCACTAGCTGCTCTCCCAGAAGTCCCAAGTACAATTCCCACATGATGGCTCACAACCAGCTATAATGAGACCGGGTGCCCTCTTCTAGCCTGTAGGCATTCATGCAGGCAGATTGCTGTATACATAATAAAACAAATCTTTAAAAAAAAGTCCTGCTGTAAAATATTTAAAGGTAAGTTTTCTTCCATATTATATAGCATATATTCAATCATGAGGTATTATATATAGATACATAAGAAGGAATACAGTTTTAAGTATAACAACAGATTATACAGAGGCACATAAAAAGTCAATTTTATTATTATATGGAACAATGGTAATAAGTGTTATTCCTTACCACTGAATTAAGGGGGAAGGGGATTCCAATAAGGGACGCCATCAGTGGTGCGATATCAGCCTAGAAATACAAGAGTTCGATTCGAGTAAAAACCAGAAAAGTGTAACCTCTCAGACAACTATAGACTATCACCATATTTATTATAATCAGAAACCTGTAAACACTTGTATCTGCTTTTATAGAGCAATGTCTTTAAACATCATTTGCTAGAAATTCATGAACTTAAGAAAAACTAACTTTGAAAAGAAAACATTAAAGGTCATCATTACAAAACAAACTCAAACAAAAATTACGTGCCCTATTAGCTGAGAACCTGAGTGTTTTGTATAAAGATTTCAGTACTGTGTAAAAGAATACTTTGGTGGTTATACAGGAAATAGGGTAGATTTTATCTGAAGACATGTGCACAAGCACTAAAGAAAGCCCATCCGAAGGAAGTCTGGCCAACCAGTGGAGAGGACAGCCCAAATGGCACTGTGGATATTTCTTTTTCAATTCCGCCTTTGAGGAGAGTTGTTTATGTATGTTTCTGTTGTTATTCTTTGTCTCACTACCCACTCCTCAACATACTGCAATCTACTTTGACCTACTATCATCTAGAGACTAATCTCCAAAGGGAGCTAACAACCTCAATTTTTCTAAATTTAATTGGCTGTGTTTATATTAGTCCTCAAAATATGCCAAGTAGTAAAAAGTTGGATGAGACAGCTTCAAATCCTGGCTTGCCAGCACTGAAAACCTCAGCATGTTTTTATAGACTTCCCCATCGGTTACATATGTCTAAGTGATGGCAGAATTAAATAGGATAAACTTACAGTGTACCTAGCACAGAACAACCCAAAATGAAGGGTAGTTACAACTGTTGCTCTTACCAGGCCTCTCTCTCACTGACCCTGGGATAAATTTTCTTCTGGGCCCCATTAATGGCTGCTTCTGAGTTCCCTTTGTTTCACTGGTGCTCCTTTTAAAGTACCTCTCTGTTCCTCACTTAATGTAAAGTTCGTAAGGTTTGCTGTCAGATTCGTGCCAGTCCCAGAAAACCAGTGCTATTCAAAGGCTTCCTTACATCTTGTCTCTCCCACTCACCTCATCTATTCATCCTGAAGCCTGAGGATTCTTACACCTGTGTGCACGCACACTCTCACAGACACACACACACACAGACACATACACACACACTCAGACACTCACACACACAACACATACACACACACATACAGACACACACACAGACACATATACACATACACTCAGATACTCACACCCATAGACACATATACACACAGATACACACACATACAGACACACAGACACATACACACACATATACACACACAGACACACACAGTCACACATACCCACACACACACAGAGACACATACAGAGATATACACACGCACACGCACACATACACACACACTTCAAGAGCTTCCTCAAGCTTTTGGAATTAAGTCCCCACAGGGCCATCTTGCCCTAACAGAGCTGTCCATAACTGTTTCTGCCTGACATCCCAAGGTCCCTATGGCCTGAGCACAAGCCACTTCTATCACCCTTCGACAGACGAAGTGTCTTCTATGCCGAGCTCTGTGCTCATGCTGCTCCTCTCCGTAGAAAGCTCTGCTACTGCCCTGGCCTTATTCCCCTTGCTTATTCTTTAATCTCAGCTCAATCCTAAACTTTCAAGGAAGCTCTGATAAGCAGAGTTTTCCAGATAAATACATCCCATGCTCTCATGGCTATGGGCCTCTCCTACAGTTGTCACAGTTCTAGTTTGCCATTTGGTTACACAATGTCAGTTCTCACCTCTACAGCTGAAGCATGCCAGCTTCATCACAGCTGGTGTTTGCTTTCTCTCACAATTACCCCACTTTGCACATAGCACAAGTGGAGTGCTGGTTGGAGGACTGAATACGAAGATTCTCATCTAACACAGCTGTATGCCACAAAGATTATCCAATAGATTAGAACTTCAGAAAACAAACTTTACATTCAGTTTTTGACTAAGATCTACTTTTGCTACAAATAAAGTGTCTTTGTATGATGGACTTCAAATCATTTCTAGCTCTTAGATTGATTTTTAAATTATAAATTAGTGAATTAATATTTTAAGTTTACATATGTTCACTTTTTCAGTATCATGAATTGATCCTAAGAGGAAAAAAAAACCTACTTTTATTAAGCTCCTAGAATCAGATTTTCAAAAGATAGACAAGAAACTGAATTTCTAAACTGAGGTTTACTGTCCTTAATAAAAAAATGTTGCCTTGTATGTGACCTAGAAGACAAGCTACCTGCCGCTTTCATGCCATATCCCAGTGACCCTTCTGGTGACCCTTCTGCAAACAGTGAAGACAGCTGCTTGAGTAGCACATATTCCACAACCCTGTGCATTTACAGGCAATATTGTCTAGCCTTTTTTTCCCAAGACAGGTTTTATTTGTGTAGCTTTGACTCTTCTGGAATTAGCTCTGTCTGTAGACCAGGCTAATGTCAAATTCAAAAAGATCTGCTGACCTCTGCCTCCCAAGTACTGGGATTAAAGGTATGAGACACCACTACTCAGTCTTGCTTACTTAAGTTACACACAACACACACACACACACACACACCTCTTAACAAAAGATCTATAGTAATCTAAACTCTTGTCACATTTTTTCCATTGCATTATCAAGGAAGTTTTATTAGGTTAAAATACAGTGAAAAGTGAGGTATCTAATAACAAGAGGTATCTAATAACAGTAACTGAGATCAAGGAAAGAAACTCCTAACAGGAGTTTTAATGTACTGCTGCTTAATGTACGCAATGCGACTATTACAGGAAATCAAAGAAAACTAATAAGCATGTAAGTGTAGACTTACAGAACAGTACCTGGAAGGAGCCTCTCAGGTGGAAATTGGGGGACAATTTCCACCTGAGAAGTAGTGTAGACACACATGTGTTTGACAGAATGCATGCACGCAGAGACAAGAGAAGTCAGAGGAAGACGTGTGTGTGTGTGTGGAGGGGTATCTTCTATTGCTCTACATCTTGTATTTTGAGACAGGGTCATTCACTTAACTAGAAACTTAGTCTGCTAAGCAGGCTGACAGTTCAGCAAGCTCCTGGGACTTTATATCCCAACACTAAGATTAGAGGCACATGAAGCCATGCAGAAACTTTACTGGGTGCTAGGAATTTGTATTCAGGTCTTTTTTTTATAGTAAGAATGCTTGCATACCTGAGCCCCCTCAAATGGGGCTTTAGTTTCAATTGACAGTTTAAAATATTGTTTATTTCTTATTGTGCGTAAGGTGGAGGGTGGGAGGGGAGCATGCATGAGGAGATCAGAAGACAGCATTCTAGTCAGTTGATTTCTGCAAAATGGGATTCTGGGGGAATGAACTCAGTCAAGCTCATGTGGCAAACACTTTACCCACTTGACCATCTCAACAACCCACTTGGTTGTTGTTGTTGCTTCTTTGTTTTAATTAGCACAAGAAGATTAGTCAGGCCAAAGCACTCACACTAGAAGTAGTCTCTATAACAGGAATGCTAGAAAATATTTTGCTACTATTACTACTACTATTATTACTGACAATTTTTCTCTACATTTCTTATACAAAATAATGTAATTAAATTTAAAAGGATACCTGATTGACGTCTTGCCTCTTCCAGTTTTCCAATCTCCATTCTGAAAGAGAGATATAAATATGATGTTAAGAATTTGAACAAGAACAAATTGTCTAATTTTCAGGAGTGCTGGACACTCCATGTAAAGACTGAGTACTGAAGATCTCTCTCTCAGCCAAGTATATAAAAAAAGAGATGGTAAAATATCAGAGGAATAAAGAGAACTCTTCAGTACTTCCTGGGCTTTATTACGCTTTTAAGATGCTCAGGCGACATAACACCCAAAATATCCAGGAAACAAAGAGGAAAGTACACACCTAATGCCAACTGTCAGCAAGGCTACTACTCACCATGGTAGCAGCTGCTGAGGTGACACACAGCAACAGCCAATAGCCCTCCCTCCCTTTCTCTGGGTGGACAGCTGTTAGCAAAATAGTTACAACTATAGCAGAGGCTCCTAGAATCGATAATGCCACGTTTTAAAAACAGTAATGAAATTACTATTAAAATCCCTTCACGGGGGAGTCTATTTCTAGCTTTTTGAGAAACCTCACCCTGGTTTCCAGAGTAGCTGTACCAGTTTATACTCCGGCAGTGAATAAGTAGCATAAACTACCTACTGTGTAAGTGAATAGCCAGCTGTGAGTCTTTCCTTTCCCCAAATCCTTCCCAGCATTTGCTGTCATATGTGTTTTGGAGCTTAGTACTACAGACTAAGCTAAGATGATCTCTCAAAGTAACTTTGATTTGCATTGCCCTAATGGCTAAAGATTTGAATATTTAAAAAATAATTATTTCACAGCTATTTGTATTTCATCTTTTGAGAACTTTCTGTTCCATGTCCTAATCTTTGTTTTTGTTGTTGTTTAGTTTTTGAGATCGTTACATAATTTAGTTACTAACTCCCTGTCAGATATATATATATATTTGGTAAATATTTTTTCCCATTCTGAAGTCTGCATCTTTATCCAAATGATGGTGTCCTTTACTGCACAGATGTTTTTATTTTCATGTGGTCCCACTTGTCAGTTGTTGGTCCTTATACTTCCATTACTGTATCCATGTTCAGAAAGTCCTTTCCTGTGCCCATAGTTCAAGCATACTCCCTACCTTCATTAGATTCAGGGCGTCGGATCTTATGTCCAAGTCCTTCCCACATTGCTTTTGGTCATGATATTTACCATATCAATTCAAAGTAACTAATACAGCACTTACTCATAACAAATAACTGTTTATAATAGCTTTAATCTATTAGGCAAGAGTTTCTTTCCATGGCATGAATAGTGCAAGCATAGATCTGCTTGACAGGCCTTTGGGGACACAATGTCATGCTCTACAAAGCTCATGATCAAAAGTGGCTCAATTGAGTTTCAAAAAACCAACCAAACAAATATTACATCTTAAACAAGCCTACTAGTAAGTTTATCATTTTGCACTGAGCAGCATTTGTAACAATCCTGGGCTACATGTGGACCATGAGCTGGATACCTCTATGCTAGTACTAAGATCTACAGAAATAACTACCCCAAAGATAGCATAATAGATTTTAACAAAACAAAAGGCTGTCTAAATTCTATTCATTTGTGATTAAATAAGACTGGAAGAATCATAACAGCTTACTACTGCTGTATTCTGGCCCTTTGTCAAATACTTCCTCTGTAGGCTTGAGGCCTGGCCTGGTATTCTTTGCCAGCACTGACAATATAAAAACAGCATAATGAAAAATGCACCATGACTTATATGAAGTCATGCCATTCTGTCCAAACAAAAATAACTAGCTTTTCATATAAAGGATATACATTTTTAGCTACTGCAATCTCACGATTAATGGTATGGGGTTTGTTTTTTTTTTTTTGGCTTAAGTTGAAAAATTGTAATCACTTTAATAATTTATCTCTAAGAAACTGTACATTATTTATTTTATTCTTATTTACTTGTACTCAAATTTTTTAATATAATTTAATAAAAACAAGATTAAAATTTCCAATTCTTAGAGATTTAGGAAGGCCAAAATACTGCTATCAGTGGTAATATAGGGATATGTTTATCAAATGGTTCTGGGAAGAAGGGAGGTGGGAGAGAGAGAGTGAGCTAACCAACTCCTTGATTTGGAGAATTTTCATATAACGGTGACAAAAATAACACCACAAGCATTAAAATAAAAGATTTAAAACAATCTGAAGTGATTTGAAAAAGAAACTGATTGAAAAAGTCCACTTAGATTACTTTTACTTTTATTCTAAATGCTAGATACATAGGCATTTATGACAATAAAAACAAATGTTTGTACCTTTTAAAAACTCATCATCATATTGCTGAGCTGACACATTTTGAGGGAATTTGATTCCAGCTCCCCAAGTAACGAAAGGAGTTAACGTCTCTGAAGGATGACCAGCCCCGTGGGAACCTACAGCAAACACATCGAGTCATCAGACTGAGTATGCAATCACTGACAATGGCAGAATAACCTCTGAATGCTTTGGTATAAAGAATTGGTCCATGTATAGGCTGGGAAAGTCATAGGCCCAGATATGGAGACTACAGCTATTTTGCTAAACGGATATAATGTGACTTCTCGATTGTCTTCTCTATAACCATGCTGATATTCATGGATTACTGCTTTTGTCAGCTTTAGCCAAGGAAACAGAAACTGCTTCTTACAGTAAGAAGCAGTAACTGCAGTGACACACAGCTGATCAAGTGACGGAAACAGGTGGCTACTAAACATTCAACCATTAAGGGGACATCTGTATCAGTTGTAAACACACAGACACACACTCACACACCGAGGCCCAGAGATCATCACAGAAGGGGCTAAGGCAGTCAGAGGCAGAAAGATCAGAGAAAAGGTTTTTCAGGGGTATCATCTCCCAGCTGGGATCAAGTGGTATGAACAGGACAGCAAGGTGTACAGATTCAACATGGTTTGAAAACAAAATGTTCCGCACAGTTTCACATATTAAATACTTGTGCCCAGCTGGTACTGATACTTTGGAAGCTGTAGAAACATTAGGCTATTGCTAGCTAGAGTAATGCCTTGAGGGTAATAACCTGCCCTCATCCCTGTTACTCTATCTTTGCTTCCTATCTGCTACAAGGTAAAAGTCTCCTCTGCCAAATACCTAGCAACACGGTGTTCTGACCAAGCCAACCAACCACAGCGAATTCTCTCTAAAAGAGTGAGCCAAAGTAAACATTTCCTCTTAAGCTGCTCTCATGTATTTTGGTCACAGCTATGCACAGGTAACTGACACAGAATCCGTTTGTTCCAGCCTCTCTGTAAATGGGGCAGCTAAAGCAGTACTCTGTAAGATGAAATTCAGCTCACTAGAATGTCATCTTACGATTCAAGAGGTCAAGCCTCATCTTTACGTTGTACCGTTCTCTAGGCACAAACTCCACTTGCCCTGGGAGCCTCACGGGGAGGGAGCACGGAGTTATGTTGTCCCAGCCAGTCCTCAGACACACACCTTAACTACCATCACTCACTTTGCCTTCATGTGTAAATTCCAGTTACAATTTCTTTTCTAATAAAGAAGTATGAGGAAATTTAAAAATACTTGAATTTTTTTCTACTTTCTCATTTGTAAATGAGAACATGTTCGTTTTACAATTAGAAAAAAAAAACTTTTTATAGAAGGTCAGACATTTTAAACATACAATCATGTGCTGACATCTGATTTTCTGAACATAATACTTGGACGCTACATCTGCCACTACTTTCATTAAGGTAGTACTGTAAGACAGACTAACCCCAGTCTGTCATTCCATGGTCAGACGTAAAGACAAATGCAGTTTTCCCATCATCACCATAAAAATGCTTGAATAGTGACACAATTTCCTTCACTCCATCATCAACTTTTTTAATATTGTCCTTATATTCCCTGTTAAAAAAAAAACCACAAAAGAACAAGTTAAATTAATTTAGAGAAATCAAACTTATTCAACCCAGACTCATTACATTTAAAGTCAAGAAACAGAAGAGATGCTTTCAGATTTAATCTATACTACTTTATGTCAGAGCCCCTCATAAGACTAATTTTTTGTTTAATAAATGTTAAAAATGGAGATAGTTTTCATGGACATTTTAAAAGGAAAGTATTGATTAATAAATATATTTTAATGACCACTTTTTAAATTCTAAACAGGATAATAAAGACTTTCAAGTTTGTGTATCTAAAAAACTACACTGTTCTGATGACCTTAATAGGGAAGTATCATTATTTAAAGTACAGAATTTTTCCACACTGTCAAGTACTTGTGATTTATAACTACTACACTGTTAAGAACAAATTGTACCCAAGCTTCCAATATAGTTAAACAAAATCAGTTTAATATGAATATATTCCAGTAATGAAAATACTGAATCATGTTAAACTAGGGGAATATGAGATATTCATGCTAGTAATTAAGCCAGCAGACATTAGAGTTAATATAAAACCAACTCAAAATAAAGAATAAAAGTTCAAGTGATTTTTTCTTTCTTATCGTCTGCAAGGCTGAGACTACCACTGAAGAAGTAATAAACAACACTTCATGCAACTGTTTACTGGATACAGTGCTATTAAATAAACACCCAAAGGCATTGCATCTGTTATAAAATCCATTCCATAAAATGTTTGTGCTTTGAGATTTACTGGAAATACTCATAAAATGTGAGTCCTTTAGATATTTTTCTCTGCCTTGATAACTGATGAATACATGCTACGTGCAAACTGCTTCACTTATTTTAGTGTGCAGCACAGCCAAAGCACAGGTCATTAAAATTATACATCTTATAACTGAAAATATTACAGAGGATAGTAGTTATATAAAGTATTAGTTTTGTTGTCATGACTACAAAGAAAATTCCAAACTATACCAACATTTTAAACAAAATAGCTATTTCCCACAAGATCAAACAGAACACATAATTCACATTACCTTGATGATGGCCGGTGAGCATGTCCATTTGTATCTATTCCTAATAAATGTAAGAAAAAAACTACTTTTTCTTCATTTAATTTTGAGAACAAAGATTGGTTGGTTTTTGCAGCATCAAAGAAGTCCTACATGTAACAAATCAGGTGAAAAGTAATTTATTTTATTTAAATTTATAAATAACTATAACTTAAATCATCATATTTTATCTCATTTTGTTCTCAAAATATGCCAACATGAAATCTTAGTTATCAATTCAGATATTTCTGTCCAAATACTCACTCAGCTATTGTGGTACTATTAAAAAAGGAGATTAATTTCATACTTTTGTTACCACAGAACTATTATAATTTTTAAAAATTTAAGAAATATTCTGATAAGTGGCAAATGTTAAACAGTAGTGCTGAAAACAGTTCAAGAACGTTTATTATATTTAAATAAACTTGGAAATGGATCTTTTTTTATTGTCTTGTTCCACTGCAATTTTGGTCAAACTATGACATTGCACTTAGATTGTGAGAATTCTTAACTACTTCCTCTTCCATGAGTAGGACCTGTTCTTGTTGTCCTGTGCTGGAGAAATATCACTTAACAAAGTACAGTTCAGAAATTATTAAATTAATGTCACAATAACAAACTGGATTCATAAATCATTCAGACATAAGTAATTCTCATATTCATGAGCATGTATTCAAGTACATAGAGAGTGCTTTAAAATTATTTTAAATGAACCAATTATGTTAACAGGTACCATTTTTTACATAACTGTATATAGATTTATTAGAAGATGCTAGCTTTTGAGAAGAGTGCAGCTTTTCTGAAAAAATAATTATAAAAAGTATTGAAAAGTATATATGGGCTAATTAAGAAAAATTATTCAAGGATAAGACTACCCTTAACCTTCAATTTATATTCTACTTAGCTTGAGTTAAATTATATATATTTTTTCCATGACTAGCAAAAACTTTAAGCACGCATATAAGATTTGGAAGCTATAAAAACACTAACCAGCTAGAGCTCAACCTGTCTCTTGACAGGTGTCACTTTGAAAGCGGTTTTAAAGTTCTGTTACTTAAAGAAGCTCTCAGGCAATTATCCTGCCCACAACTACTCCTGCTTTCCCAGAGGCAGCCCTTGTACCAGGGATACCAGGTAAAACCCCACTCCATGCACTATGCCTGACACCTCCTCTTAGGGCACACCTGACAGTCATCAACTGCACCCTATCCCTTCTGCTCCATTCTCCAGTCAGAATTCCTCCAAACCACAGTAGTCACAATGGCCACAAAACTCCATCTGAGACACCAGCATGAATCTGAAGACATGCTAATCACCAGAACACTAGACTACTCAGCCCAAAAGACTGAGAAGAAATAGAAAGCAGAGACAAACAATCAAAAAACTACCTATCTAACAAAGATAAACTTAGAAATCAACACCTAAACCTCCAATAATAACCCCTAAACCCATATGACTAGACACCAGCTTAAGAACACGATCAACAACAGACGGGACAATAAGACACCACCAGAGCCCAGGTATCTTCCTACAGCAAGAGGTGGGTAGGAGACCATAGCTTAAGCACAAGAAAACAGCATGAAGTCCAATCTTAAGGAGATAATAGACACCTTTAAAAGGAAATGAATGAATCCCTTAAACAAATGGAGATAGAATTAATAAAGAAAACACAAACTGAGGGGATCCTAAAGATGGACAACTTAGGAAAGGGAACAGGAACTACACAGGCAAGCATCATCAACAGAACAAAAGACACAGAACATATGACTGAAGAATTCAATACAGCTGTCAAAGAAAATGATAATTTAAACAAATTCCAGACACAAAACATGCAGGAAATGTTGGTCGCTATAAAAAGAGCAAGCCTAAAAATAACAGAAACAAAAGAGGCCAAGCTCAAAGACCCACAAAATATTTTCAACAAAATTATAGAAGAAAATTCCCATAACCTAATAAATGTACAAGCTTACAGAACACAAAATAGAGTAGAACAAAAAGAAAATCTACCCACTACATAATAATCAAAACACTAAATGTACAGAAAAAAAGAAAGAATATTAAAAGCTATAAGGGAAAAAGACCAAGTAATATATAAAGGCAGACCTATCAGAATTACACCTGACTTCTCAACAGAGACTCTAAAAGCCATAAGGGCCTGGACCACAAATGTCAGCCCAGAAAATCTTTCAATCATCATACATGGAGAAACCAAGATACAATATGACAAAACCAAATTTAAACAATAGTTTTTCCACCAACCCAGCCTTACAGAGGATACTAGAAGGAAAACTCCAACCTAATAGGCCAATTGCACTTAAAAACCAAACAAAACAAAAATACAAGAAATCATTAATTTCGCACCATCAAAACCAAAAGAATAATTAACACACACACACACACTACCACCAAAAACATCAAAATAACAGGAAATAACAATCATTGGTCTTTGATATCTCTCAACATCAATGGACTTAATTCCCCAATAAAAAGTCACAGGCTAACGGAATGGATACAGAAGCAAGATCCACCATTCTTCTGCATACAAGAAACACGCCTTAGGATCAAAGATAGACCTTTCCTCAGAGTAATGGGTTGGAAAAAGTTTTCCAAGCAAAAAGACCAAGGAAGAAAGTTAGAGTAGGAATTCTAATATCTAACAAAATAGACTGTCAAGAATAATTAATCAATTGCATTTCCCTGATGACTAGGGATGCTGAACACTTCTTTAGGTGCTTCTCAACCATTCAAGCTTCCTCAGTTGAGAATTCTTTGTTCAGCTCTCTGCTCCATTTTTTAATAGGGTTCTTTGATTGTCTAGAGTCTAATTTCTTCAGTTCTTTGTATACCTTGGATTTATATTTCTTTAAATAGTGTCTTCATGACTCTCTGAGTGTGGAAGGAGCGGCTGTTGGAACTTCTGCCCTGATTTTACAAGAACTCTGAAAAATTGGCTTTAAAAACAAAAGAAGGGGTACGATACTCCCCAGAAGGAGTCCCCCTAAAATACTCTCCATCATGCCTTGTTCACTTTTAACTCTCTAAAACTGAAAGCTCATGGCAAATCTACTTCTGACTGCCTCTGGCATCACCGAGACCAATAAGAACTATGCCACAGCTATGTGGAAGGACCCTCTTACCCTTAAAGGGAATGGCCCAGACTCAGTTCTCTTATGGGGCCTATGATTGATATGCCTGTTTGATACCACAGAAAGTACAGCTAAATGGCTACCAAAAAGATTAATGAAATAAATAGATGCTCCCACGAAGCTAGGCCCAACCATAAATAAGATGAATAACACTTGACATCCAGAGAAGAGAAATCTCCCTGAGAATTCCCTTTTTTCCTTTCCAGGTAAAAATGAATCACCCATGATGTCTGCTGTTAGAAGTTCTAACCCAGATGCTGGCCTCCGACCTTATACTACTCAGACCTTCGATGGGCCATTGACAAGAACATCAAACAGCTAGAGATTTACATCACTAATCTAAAGAAACCCCTCGTTTTGCTGTCTGAAGAAACCTCCAAAAATTGCAAAGGACTTTATTGGACTTGATTTACTCTTTTACAATAAAAATGTGTACAGCTCTCGACTGTGTACAGCCCTTAAAGAAGAATGTTGCCTTTACATAGACAAGACAGGGATGGTTAAAGAGAGCATGAAAAAGATCAGAGAAGCCCTGAGAAAAGACAGAGAGAGAAAGAGAAAGATGAGTGCTGGTACAAGAATTGGTTTTCAGCTTCTCCATGGTTGTCAACCCTACTTCCTCCCATCTTGGGACCATTAATTGGGTCTTGGGACCATTAATTGGGTTATTTTTGCTTATTTCTTCTGGTCATCTCCTTCCCCACATCCTGCCTTTTTGTGTTTATAACCCGTGTGTGAATAAGTAAACATTATGATTTGAAAAAAAAGAATAATTAATCAAGAGATGGGGAAGGATATTTCATACTCATCAAAAAAAAAAAAAAATCACCAAGGTAACATCGCAATTCTGATATCTCAGCCCTAAATACAAGGCCAGGCAAATTCATAAAAGAAACATAACTAAAGCTTAAATCACACATTAAACTCCACACATTAATAGTGGAAGACTTGATAAGTCCACTCTTAACAATGGACAGGTCATCCAGACAAAAACTAAACAGAGAAATAATGAAACTAACTGATGTTAAGAATCAAACAAACCTAACAGATATCTCCAGAACATTTCACCTAAACTCAAAAGCATATACCTTCTTCTCAGTACCTCAGGGAATCCTCTCCAAACTTGACCATATAATTACTCACAAAGCAAGTCTCAAGAGATACAAGAAAATTGAATGACACCTTGTTATTTCTAATCTAAAAGGCATGGAGAAACTATCTAAATTAAAAAAACAAACAAAAAAACCCAAAAACAAAACAAAAAAATAAGTGAGAAATGAAAAAGGAGACATAACAACAGACACTGAGGAAACCCAAACAGTCATTAGGTTTTACTTCAAAAATCTGTACTCAACAAAACTGGAAAATCTAAATGAAATTGGTGATTTTCTTGATAGATACCACTTACCAAAGTTAAATCAAAATGAGGTAAAGAATTTAAGTGACCTATAAACACTAAGAAAATAGAAGCAGTCACTAAAATCTCCCAACAATAAAAACCCCAGGGCCAGATGGTTTTAATGAAGAATTCTACCAGACTTTCAAAGAAGAGCTCCTCAAATTATTACATAAAATAGAAACAGAAGGAACACTTCCGAATTCATTCTATGAGGCCACAATCACCCTGACATCTAAACCACACAAAGAATAAATCAAGAATTGAAGACCCAGAAATGAACCCACACACCTACGGTCACTTGATCTTTGACAAAGGAGCTAAAACTCTCCAGTGGAAAAAGGACAGTATTTTCAACAAATGGTGCTGGTTCAACTGGAGGTCAGCATGTAGAAGAATGTAAATCGATCCATTCTTATCTCCTGGTACAAAGCTCAAGTCCAAGTGGATAAAGGACCTCCACATAAAACCAGATACACTGAAACTAATAGAGGAAAAGGTGGGAAGACCCTCAAATACCTGGACACAGGAGAAAAGTTCCTGAACAGAACACCAATGGCTTATGCTCTAAGATCAAAAATTGACAAATGGGACCTCATAAAATTGCAAAGTTTCTGTAAGGCAAAGGACAGTATCAATAGGACAAAAAACGACAACCAACAGATTGGGAAAAGATCTTTACCAATCCTAAATCCAGTAGAGGGCTAATATTCAATATATACAAAGAACTCAAGAAATTAAACTCTAAACAATCAAATATTTAAAAATGGGGTACAGAGCTAAACAAAGAATTCTCAACTGAGGAAACTCAAATGGCCGAGAAGCACCTAAAGAAATGTTCAACATCCTGAGTCATCAGGGAAATGCAACCCTGAGATTCCATCTCACATCAGTCAGAATGGCTAAGATCAAAAACTCATGTGACAGCAGATGCTGGAAAATATGTGGAGAAAGAGGAACACTCCTCCACTGTTGGTGAGATTGCAAGCTTGTACAACCACTCTGGAAATCAGTCCTCAGAAAACTGGACATAGCATTACCTGAGGACTCAGCTATACCACTCCTGGGCATATACCCAGAAGATGCTCCAACATATAACAAGGACATATGTTCCACAATGTTCATAACAGCCTTATTTATAATAGCCAAAAGCTAGAAAGAACCCAGATGTCCTTCAACAGAGGAATGGATACAGAAAATGTGATACACTTACACAATGGAATATTACTCAGCTATTAAAAACAATGAATTTATGAAATTCTTAGGCAAATGGATAGAACTAGAAAATATCACCCTAAGTGAGGTAACCCAGTCACAAAAGAACACACATGGTATGCATTCACTGATAATTGGCTATTAGTCCAAAAGCTTGCAATACCCAATATACAACTCACAGACCACATGAAGCTCATGAAGAAGGAAGACCAAAGTGTGGGTGCTTTTTTCTTAGAAGGAGTAACAAAATATTCATGGGAGTAAATATGGAGACAGAACATGGGACAGAAACTGAAGGAGGGGTCATCTGGAGACAGTTCCACCTGGGTATCCATCCCATATGCAGTCACCAAAGGTAGACGCTGATGTGGATGTCAGGAAGTACATGCTGACAGGACCTGATATAGCTGTTTCCTTAGAGGTCTGCCAGAGCCTGAAATATACAGAGGTGGATGCTCACAGCTAATCACTGAACTGATCGTGGGGTTCCCAATGGAGGAGTGAGAGAGAAGACTGAAGGAGTTGAAAGGGTTTGTGGCCCCATGGGAAGAGCAACAATACCAACCAACCAGAGCTCCCAGTGTCTAAAACACCAGCCTGGGGGCACATAGGGAGGGCTCTATGGCTCCAGCTGTATACATCGGGGAGGATGGCATTGTTGGGCATATGTGGGAGAGGAGATACTTGGTCCAATGAAGGCTGGATGTCCCAGTGTGGGAGAATTCGAGGGTGGGGAGGTGGGAGTGGGCGAGAGGGTGAGGGCACATCCTCATAGAAGTAGGAGAAGGGGGGATGTGATTGGGGTTCCTGGGGGCAAGGGAATGGGGAAAGGGGATCACATCTGAAATGTAAATAAAATATCCAATAAAAAAAAGAAAACGAATTTCAGAGAGTCTCCATTATGAATATTGATGCAAAATACTCAATAAATACTTGTCAACTGAATCAAAAACACACCAAAAACATTATCCACCATGATCAAGCAAGCTTTGTCCCAGAGATTCAGGGATGGTTCAACGTAACAAAATCCAGCAATGTAGTCCATCATATAAACTGAAAAAAAAAAAAAATCACATGATCATCTCATTAGATACTAAAAAAAAACCTGATTAAATTCAACACCCCTTCATGATAAAAATCTTAGAGACATCAGGGATACAAAGCTCATATCTAAACACAATAAAGGCATTATACAGCAAGCCAATAGCCAATAGTCAACATCAAATTAAACGGAGAGAAACTTAAAGCAATTCCAATAAAATCAGGGACAAGACAAGGCTGTCTCCATATCTACTCAATAAAGTACTTGAAGGTCTAGCTACAGCAGCAAGTCAGCTAAAGGAGATCAGGCAGATACAAATTGGAATGGGAGAACTCAAAGTACAGCAACTTGCAGATGATATGATAGTACGCATAAGTGATCCCAAAAATTCTACCAGAAAACAGCCGAAAAACACCGTCAGCAAAGTGGCTGACACAAAATTACCTCAAGGAAATCATTAGCTCTCCTTGATAGAAATGCTAAACAGGCTCAGTAAGAAAATAACACCCTTCACAATAGACACTAATGATATAAAATATAGTGGTGTAACTCTAACCAAGCAAGTGAATGACTGTATGACAAGAACTTCAAATCTTTGAAGAAAGAATTTGAAGATGCCAGAAGATGGAAAGATCTCCCATGTCTTTGGATCAGTAGGATTAGCACAGTAAAAATGGCCATCCTACCAAAAGCAAGCTACAGATTCAACACAATCCCCATCAAAATTCCAACACTATAATTTACAGACTTTGAAAGAACAATACTCAATTTCATATGGAAAAACAAAAGACCCAGGATACCTAAAAAATCCTAAACAATAAAAGAACATCTGGAGGTGTTGCCATCCCTAATTTCAAGCTGTACTACAGAGCAATAGTGATAAAAACTGCATGGTATTGATACAGAAACAGACAGGCTGATCAATGGAATTGAATCAAAGACCCTTCAATAAATGGTGCTTCTCTACTGGGCATTTGCATGTATAAAAATGCAAACAGATGCATCACTCTGTACAACAATACAGGATACATTAAATATGATAGAAGAGAAAGTGAGAAATTGTCTTCAATGCATTCACACAGGAGACAACTTCCTGAACACAACACCAATAGCTCAAGCACTACGACTAATAACTAATAAATGAGACCTCATGAAGACAGTGAGGTAATCCAGATCCAGAAAGGCAAACATGGATTAAGTGGATATTGGGATACAGTAAACGTTAAGCATGCTACAATCCATAGACCCAGAGAAGCTAAGTAACAAGAAAGGTTCAAGCTTCAAGTGGGGGATGCTTGGATCTTACTGAGAAAGAAAAATAGAATAGTCACAATGGGTAGATGGGTAAGGGAAGGGAGGGACACAACGGGAAGGGGAGAGACTGGGAGGACAGGAGGGTGGGATACCTCGATCAGGATGTAAAGTAAATAAATTAATTACGAAGAGTCACCACTCTGTGGGGAAAAGCAGCTCAAAGGCCTTTAATAATGGTTAGCTGGCTAATCTGTTTGGGCTTACCTGATTCTTCTTCCCTTTTTATAGGAAACTTTTTGAAATGTTTATGTGTATGGGCCTGACTGTCTGTAGTCTGTAAGTGCATGCAGTGCCTGAGGAGGCCAGACCAGGGTGTCAGGTTCTCGGGCCTGAAGCTCCAGGTGGCTGTAGGCTGCCCAGGGCTTGTTCTAGGGTGGAGCCTAGGTGCTGCCGTAGGTGCTCTTAGCTGCTGAGCCGTCTTTCCAAACCCTAATTTTTCCTTAAAATCTAATTTCTTTGTTATTATGAAAGTATTATTCTGAAATAACGTTTTTAAGATGTTCCACCTTTCCCATGGCCCGCTACTAGTAGACAAAAGCTCCAAAGGTCAACAACAGATCGAGAATCACCTACAGTGACTCACCAAACTAGAAACGGTTAGCAGGCTCTTGTGGCTCCTAACCTAGGGTTCATTTTACCTTAAGAAACACAGACTTTTAGAGGGTTATTTCGAAAAGGAATTTAAAAAACTTTTTATTAGTCACTCTAGTACATGTAATTTCTTTTAAAAATAGCAGGGTACAACAATGAATGCTCAAATTCATATAGGCAGCAAACTAAACCAGAGAGAAGTTCACTCAGAAATAAATTTCCAGGACTTTAAATAAGCATATATTGAGTCATAAGGCACTGCATAGCAAATACCTCCCCAGATGTAGTGGTATTCCTATGTAAAACAGGACTTGGACACTGAAGCAAGAAGGCTGAGAACGATGGATAGGCTGGGATACATAGCAAGATTCTGTTTCAAAACAAAGCAAAACAACATGCACCTTAACTTTATCAAAAACCCAGGTATCCAGTTTTGTGGCATCGTGGGCACCAAAATCTTCTCTTTGAGCATCGTAACTATATGTATAAACATGGTCACCACTAGCACCTGAAAAGGAAATTTAATGAAAAGACAAATTTTAGGAAACAATAACAAAATTTTAAGCTATCATAAAACATGAGATAATCATTTAACTTATTTTTGTTATTGTTGAGATCATCTTACTATATTGCTCCTGCTGGTCTTGAACTCATATCCTCAAATGACCTTTCCTCTTAATCTTCCCAAGAGCTAAGATTACAGGCATGCTCCCATCATACTTGGCTCTACAGCAAGAATTTTATAACTAGCTAGAATTAATACATGTTTATGATAGAGAGTGGAAAGATAGAAGAAATAATTAAATTTTATTTTATGTGTCATAAGTCATGTTAGATACATCAACGTATTCTTTTTGTTCTCAAAATAACATTAACTTACCAAAGTCAAAATTCTAATATGCAATAAAATAAAAATAAGTTCTGAAGTTTGTTTCCATTTAAACACATACTGCTAAAGAGGTTACAATGTAACACAGATGGAGATGGCTAGCATAATCCTTCCTAGAACATACTCTGAAACATGTCACTTGTCTTAAAATTATATGTATTTGTCTCCACTTAAGGAAATAAATAGCCTGAAACTGTAATGTGTGCTGTAATCCAAGCACTAGGGAAGTGGAGATAAGAAAAATCTCAAGATTGAAGCCAGCCAGACCCTGTCTCAAAAGCAAGGATTGGGAGAAGAAAGGCAAATGCTGCTTATTACCAAATAAAGAGGTCAATCTTATAAATTTATAAAACATGTATCAAGAATCTATAATCAATTTCTGGGAAGATACACTTTTATATAGGTCATGGGGATGATCTGTCATGAAGTAACGACAGTCTACAACACCAACTCGGTTCTAGTGACCCTGTGACTCTGCTCAGGCCTTCTACTCCCCATATCCCAGATGTGGACATATAAAGGAGTCGGTTATTTATATACCATACATATTGGGACACTCCTACTGGTTTGTGTCTGGTTCAAGCATCAGTCCTGTGTTATCAACTGTGACCAGAAGTAGGAAGATTATCTTGGTAAGCCACAGTAACTTAATCATCCCTTACAGCTTCCTAAAGAATGAAATATATAAATAGCAAATGGGGTTTGTCCAGTGAAATGCCTGTCTATGAACAGCAGAAGTACAATTCCGAACACATATTTTGCTTTCTAAATACGAAATTTTCTTCAGTAGTTCCACTTATATCTGTGTGTACTGGCTGGTTTTGTGTGTCAACTTGACACAAGCTAGAGTCATCAGAGAGGAAGGAGTGTCAATTAAGGAAATGCTTCCATGAGATCCAGCTGTAAGGCATTCTCTCAACTAGTGATCAATTTAGGGAGGGACCAGTCCATTGAGGATAGTACCATCCCTGGACTGGTAGTCATGGGTTCTGTAAGAAAGCAGGCTGAGCAAGCCATAAGCAAGGCAGTAAGCAGTACTCCTCCGTGACCTCTGCATAAGCTCCTGCCTCTGGGTTCCAGCCCTGATTAAGTTCCTGTCCTAACTTACTTCCTTCAATAACGGATTATAATCTAGAAGTGTAAACTAAATCAACCCTTTCCTCCCCAACGTGCTTTCTGGTCATGGTGTTTTGTTGCAGCAATAGGAACTCTAAGACACCATGCAATGTATAATATTATAAAATCCTTCCATTAAATGAAGTGACTTTGTTCCCAGTAAAAATCATTCATAGACAAGAATTACACCTGGCTGACTTTTTAAAATAAATGAATTTTCATTTTTTTAAAGATTTATCCATTTATTTTAAATATATAAGTACACTGTCGCTGTCTTCAGACACACAAGAAGAGGGCATCAGATCCCATTACAGATGGTTGTGAGCCACCATGTGGTTGCTGGGAATTGAACTCAGGACCTCTGGAAGAGCAGTCAGTGCTCTTAACCGCTGAGCCATCTCTCCAGCCCCATAAATGAATTTTCTAATCAAGAGATGCTGTTACTTGTGGATTTGTGCATATAAACAAGTTCAACAAATCAACAAATTGAAATGCCAATGCAGTGAACTGTATGTGACATTTCAATACATTAAATACCACGTTAGTATAATATACATTAAATGACAAAGTTTTGGCACAGTAAATAGGTTACTCATTATAATGTCTGAATATTTAAAATATTATGTGACTATTGACTGACTTTTTTAACAAATTATTTAAATATGAAGAACCAGACACCAACACTGTCTCCATAGAGAATAAGCACTTTGATAAATATTCAAATGAATCATTTAATTCTAAAAATAAACATATAAGGTGCAGTAACTATTACAACACATTTTATACAAAGGAAAACTAGAGCTTAAGTTTATAAGGCTGTTATATGATAGAACTATATATTATTTCATTGAATTAAAAAGTACTAATAGTGTTACATAGCAATCTTTGTTGTTAAAATACAACAAAGGAGAAGTCCTGTCTGTTAAACTGATAACCAAGTCCACTGGAGAAAACATTTGTTTTCACAGCTCATGAAAAAACCTCTAGAAATGAATAAATACATAAAAGTAGAATATAAGCCAGCAATACGGCTAAGCAGGTAGAGGCATTTGCTATTAAGACTGGCAATCTGAGTTATATGCCTGGGATCCATATGATAAAAGGAAAGAACAGACTCCTGTGGGTTGTCTCTAGATGAGAACCATGTACAGCATGAGCACACAAAGTATATGGCTCTACGTGTCCTGGAACTCACTATATAGGTCAGGCTGGGCTCAGAGAGATCTACTTGCCTCTGCATCCAGAGTGTTGGGATTAAAGGTGTGCAGCACACTACACCTGGATAAATACATTTCTGTAGATAAAGAATTAAAAACCAAGGGGTAGAGTGTAGTTGAGTAATAGACCAGCCTAATACATGAGAGGCCCTGAATTTCATCCTCAATACTGCAAGAATAAAAGCATTTTTTTTTTTTTTGGTTTTTTTCGAGACAGGGTTTCTCTGTGTAGCCCTGGCTGTCCTGGAAAAAAGCATTTATTTATGACTCATTTGCTACCTAAAATATAATCAATGTATCTCACCTTTGGCAAACATAGGCAAGATATCTGGACTCCCCCAGCTCCATGTGTACTTGCTTTCATTAAAAAGAGAGTCAAATTCTACCGGATTTTCTTTCCATCCTTTGGGTAATAGAGAAAAGAAGCAAGGAATAATATAAGTGCACAGTAAAATAAGGCCTGAAAGAGGCATTCTTCAGATAGTAATTGAGGACAACACAGAAAACTCATAGATTGTCTTAAGCATATTATATGCCTATCTTAATATAAATGGTAGATAATTCACTTCTTGTTAAAATAATCACTTTTAAATTCTTGATTGTAATGTCTAACAAAACCACATATCATACATACATGCTTTTTCAGTAGTTGAGGATGACGACAGACTAATTACAGAATCAATACCAGGATGTGTTCATGTGAGTAAGGCATACTCAAAGACTTGTCAAAAGTATCTCAAACCTCTGGAGACATGGCTCAGAAGTTAAAAGAACTTGCTGCTCTTGCTAAACCAGATGTCCTGGGTGTGGTTTCCAGCACCAACACTGGGGGGCTCACAACCACTTGTATCTCTAGTTCCAAGTAGACTACTGTCTTCCGGCCTCCAACACTTGCATTCACATTGTGCACAAACATACAAGCACACACACACACATTCACACACAAATAAATATTTAAAAAGCACACTGAGTTTTTAACTGATGTCATGATTCAGTGGTAGGAAAGAGTGTTCATATATCAAGCATTTTATTTATGAAACTGTTTCAGAACACAACCTTTGGCAACCGCACTGACATCCTCGTAAAAGCCAGCTATCAAGGCTACGTGGCCAGGCCGAGATTCTGTTGGCACACGTGTGTGAGATACTCCCCAGCTGCCTTCATGCATTATAACATTCCTAAAAGACAATTGGGATGAACAATTAATATATGCTAGTATTCAAATTCTCATGAGGCTTTAAGATTTTTATACAAGGAATCAAACCAAAAAGTTAAATTGTAAGATGGAAAGGAATCTCAAAACCTACTTGAGCCCAGTCCTATACTGTCCACCAATTCAATGGAGTAGCATGAAGAAGCACCCAAGGCAATATGAAAAAAAAAAAAAAAATCACTACCCTACTACAGAGAATCAAGAGACCAACTACACCCTAGTGTTTCAAGCCACAAGCTGAGATGTTTGGTTACACAGAAAAAGCTGATATACAGAATATTGTATTGTTAAGTTTTATTTGATATGAAGATGGTATATGGCTATATAAAAACAAAAGTCCTTTTCTTAACAAATGTAATATAATGTTTGGTGAAGAAATGCCACATTGTCATATTTTCAAATTGTTCAGGGAAAAAAAAAACTAAAAATTCTACAATATGCATATCCACAGTTATCTGTGTGAAAAAAATTCACATAATTTTAAAGGAAAAAAAAAAGAAAAAAAAAATCTAGGCGTGGAGGTACATGGCCTTAATCCCAGGACTTGGGAGGCAGAAGCAAGAAGATCTCTGAGTTTGAGGCCAGCCTGATCTACATAGCAAGTCCCAGGTCAGTCAGGGCTACATAGTGAGACCTTGTCTCCAAACAACAAAAACAACAACAAACAACAAGAAAACCCAAAAACAAAACAAGCAAAACACAAGTTTAAAAAAAAAAGTTTTAAAGACGGTCAATTCCAAGCTGATGTTCATCAATTCATAATATTGCACTGATATTTTAAACATAGTGTTTTAAATTCAAGCTAACCTTGCCAAGACAAACCCCTGAGCCTGTAAGCATCCTTACCTAATGAAAGGTGCTCTGGAGTTTCCATCTTCATCTAACTCATAAAGAGCATCTGCTCTCAGGCCGTCAGCAACAAATAACACTAATCTCTTTGCTGGAGGAGGCAAAGGTGTAAACTGAGGAGTCATTCCATGGACCAAAGGAGATGTAAAATAAATGTCAAAGATGGAGGCGAAGAACACAAAATGGACAAGCAATCCCAAAGCAAAGAACAGCAGCATATCCACAACGGGCTCCCTGCAAGAGAAGCAGAACAGACACACCTGATGAGGATCTTTCTTCCACATATCTGATGGCTTAAGCAACATTGGTAAGGCAGGATACTACACAACTTAACAACTTGCCTTTTGTTTACAATGGTAACAATAAACATTGTTTAACACCTTAAGATAATACTGAAATAAAATATATGTTATAGTACACCACGCAAAAAGAAAGAGTTCAATTAGGATTGATAAACGGTAACAAATTCAGTTATCTACTAAACAATTAAAAATTAGCAAAGGAACACAGAACAAAAGGTACTAAAAATTAGTTAGGCTCAGTCACAGGAAATCCTAAATAACAAAGGAAATATAATTCAGGATATTCTTGGTTGTGGAAACAACACTGTTCCTCTTTTAGAATTTAAATGTATTAAATTACTTACAACTTTAAATTTCTTGAGTTAATTTTTTTTTTACTGTGGTAATCAGATTAGGGGGACTGTCTGATTCTCTTAAGTAGTAATATGCATTTTATCCATTTTGCTGAGTTACATACAAGAAGTAAAACTATCTATACTTCAGGAAATCTGCACTCTGTAACACTTTATTTCTCTGAAACAATGAGAAGGCTTATTTATTCACTGAATACAAATTGTGTGTCTCTAGAAAAGAACACTAAGAAAGGCTATCAGAGGCCTGATGAGCTTACAAATACTAAAGAAAGGAAACCAAGCAAATTGAAATGTTTAAATAATACTGTGCAATAGCGTGACATTATACCTCAAAGATCAAAGTGACAATAAACTGTTTTTCAAGCCAGTCTTTTGTTTTTATTGGTGAATGTGTCTACAGATTAAAAAAGAAAACACTAGAATTTCTTCCTTGAAGCAGTATTAGGTACAAATAATGACTCTGATCTGGAAAATATGAAAGATGAGAATTACGAACATACCTTATTCTCCCTGGCTGAAGAATTAAATATCATAAGGATGGAGAATGCCCTGTAAAAAGGAAAGAGGCACTAAAAATGTGCTTATCAAATACAGACAAATTAGAAAAAGAAAATCAACCAAAAGATCAAACTATAAGACACCTTTTTTTTTTTTATTCTAAGAGAACCTGCGGTGAACAGAGTATCAAAGATTCCTTAGTAAACACATGCAATTTCAAAATCTAATCTCTCAGTTGGCTTCTTTCCTAGTTTATATACTCATTAAAGTACACAGTGGGTACCATCATGGTATTCTAAATATTAATAATAGAGATACAGAAAAAAATAGCCAGGATTCTACTACCTTCAAAGTCAGCAGTTTTCAACTTGTGGGTCATGACTCCTTTGGGGGGTCAGACGACCTTTTCACAGGGGTCACTGAAAATCATTGGAAAACAGGTATTTACATTACGATTCATAACAGTAGCAAAATTAGTTATGGAGTAGGAACAAAAACAATTTTATGGTTGGGGGGTCAGCACAAAATGAGGAGTTATATTAAAAGGTCATAGCATTAGAAAGGTTGGGAGCCACTGTTCTAAGCAAATATTTGTCAATAGTTACCTTAAAAAAATGTATCTTATCTTCATTTTTACGGAGGTACACACGTTTGTTTATTTTTAAAAAATAGACATTACCATTTAAAAACATTTTGTTACATTTTGTGTTTGTGCGTGCATCTGTGCATGCTTGTGTGTGTGTATATGCACCTATGTGTGCTTCTGTATGTATGTGTGTGTTTGTATGTGCACACGTGTATATGCATATGTATGCCATGGCACAAATGTGGAGGTCAGAAGGCAGCGCTGGAACCAAACACTGCTCTTCAGGTTTACTGGCAATGCCTTTACCTACTGAGTCATCTTCAGGGCCCCTGCATTCACTTGAACACACATTACCATTCTCTTAAAAACAAACTCCCCCATGTATCATATACCATTACCACATTTTGTCCTAAAATGCATCTTTGCTAACAAATCCTAAACTGGAAAACACTGAAGTAGTTTTTGTCTTCAATTTTTGACTACTAATAGCATCTATGTGGTTAAATAAAAAAATGTACCTGGGGCTTTGGATTTAGCTCAGTCGTAGATTTATGAGTTCAGTACATAACTGACTTTGATGAAATAATGTCTGCCTTTGTCACTTCACTATAATTCAAGGACAGCAGGGAAGGTCATCATTAGCAGTCATCACATTTCTATGCAAAAATCAAATGTTTGCTCAAGAAATCTAGGATTACATTTCAATCGCAATATGTAAGAAAGTCACTAGAGGTCGCCTTGCTTCTCTCTTTGGGTTTCCTAGATAAGGTGTGTTAAGCTTCAAAGATACTTTCAAAATAAACTCCAAAAAGCCCATGTTTTATGCTTAAGTGATTTATTATATATGAAGTTATAGTAATTTTAACATGTGAATATTCATATACCCAGTCACATTTGTCTCAAGCAATATTACTATATAACATTTTTTTCCTTAAATGGAATCACTTCTTATTCACAATTAAAAAAGAAAACTTCACTGACATACTTGAGTTTTTTGGAAACTTCCAAAATAAATGCATAATCATTAAAACTTAAAACATAGCTATTCATTTGCTTATAAAAATATAGTTTATATCTGTGAGATATACATCACCATAAACTAAAAACTAACAAAGCATTAAACAATATCAAACACTAAATCAACCAAATTTTGCATTTATAATGTTATTTGTGGTTATTTAAGACTATGGAATTCTCAAATAATTTTAACATATAAATGATTTAAGCATTTAGGAAAAGAAAAGCTATCTTTTCTATTTTTATTGTTAAGAGATAAACTTCAAGACTATCCTTAGTCAGATAAGATGACAGTCTAAAAGGCTTTGACCTAGGTCAGTCTTCCAAAGAAGAAAGAAAATTTCCAACAACTATTAATAAATTATAAGTAGAGGGCAGAATTTCTTACTATCCCAGTGTGTGCATTAAAACTACTCATGCATGACACTGAGAGGCAAAGTACACTATGGGAAGATTTGTTGAGAACTTGCAGTTAGATAAACAAGCCCTCGGTTACAGGATGGGAACTAGAAGTAGTAACTACAGAGGGCAGGTCGGCCACTAAACTCTATGTTCAACTGAAGACTCAAAGGCAAACATTTTAAACCTATTTTCAATTTGTGCTTTCTAATTCAGACCCTAAATTCAAGCTGCTGCCTCTTTTTGTCCTACTGACATTACTTTCCCATGCCCTGCTAGCCACTGATATCTGTGTTTAAAAACCTGCCAAATGTCCTCAGTATCCAATACTTCACTGATTAATAACCGACCATACAACATTTGCTGCCAACCAGCTACCAGGCGCTGGGACAAGAACATTTGTAATTCTATGTGTTTTTATTATGCCTCTGGGCTGATAAATGGAAGAGAGGCTGGGAGAATTTAGGCTCAAACATTTCCAATGTCTCACAGTAAGTGATGTGTATGTGATGTGCCCTTCTACTATTTTAAGTGCAGTTTTCCTCAGGCACCCTAAATGTAGATTTCTAAACATCCCCATTACAAAGAAGAAAAAAAATTACACATTTCTGCTCATGTTTTCCCTGTGCCATTCACTAATCCTCCGTTCCAAAATTTGGTTCCATTTTTAATCTCTTTGGCAGTATCAAACTAAGAACTGATAACTCCCTTTGCTAAGAAATGTGAAATACAATAAAATATTGGCCATTCTATACTATTTCCATGTTACTGAGGATTTTTTTCCCAGATTCATCAATAAATGGAACAGAACAGCATTTAGCCCAAAGAATTGAAAACTAAAAATCTTATTTTTTTAAAAAAGAATCCTTACTACTAACACTATTTTTAAATTACTTTCCACTGTCGAAAGGGTCCTTGTTCTCTTTTACTGTGTGGGTTAACTTCTTTCCATCTCCTGGTCTCCTATGCTCATTTAAACCACCCACCCCCACCTCCAGTATTCCCCTCCCACCTTCATGTCACAGATTCTAAAAGCTTCTTAAAAAGCCCAAACAATAACAACAATAACGACCAAAGAAAACATCTCAGAGCCCCATAGAAACGAAATTGAAGTTTATTGTGAGACTGACTAAACTGAAATTAAAACCGACACTTACCTACTGGCATACTTTACACGTAAACCAGTAACCAGACCTAAGGTCATGTAACATTGCTCTATTTTTATTTTTCCACAAAGCTAAAGGAGATACTTCATTGCTTAAATGTAATATACATATATACAAACATACATACATATATACGTACACATATATACAAACAATATACGATTTTATATATATATATATGTATACACACACACACACACATATATATATATAAAACAGAGCAGATGGTTAGCACTGCTGGATATTTACTTTGTTGTCTGTTAGGAGCTGGTTAGCAAGAACTCAAAAGAATTCTAAAACCAGAAAAATGTGGCAATCTGTGTGTAACATAGATGATATCAGGGCTAGCAGTCTAATAACGACAGGAAAACTTCCTCTTATCACCTCAAACTACAATCAAGGAATTAACATAAAGGATAAATGATCTTCCAAACCTACGAGAATAGTTAATGTGCTAAATGTTTCATAAAAGCAATCAAATCTCTCTACAGAGTACAATTTCTAAAACCGCTAAAATTGGATTGGTCCACAATGAAAACCTCGAGTCTAGCCTAAATGAAGGTTTCAGGGGATCGTGGTTTTGGATGGTTTTGGACAAATGCGTCCTAGTGCAGTGGACTTGACCAGGCCATTGACTACTTCACTCACTTGTACTTAATAGTTTGAAAAGTTCCTTTGATGTATGTTAATCTCCAGGGGTTTACAGAGTACTTAGACTGTCGTCCAAGTCCAGGCTGTTCACAGAGGAGTGCAAAGGCATCTCGAAACTCAAGTGTGGCAATGTCCTCCATCTGCACCCTTCAGCTTTCTAGGTCCTACTCCGGGACAGAGGGGGCGGGAAGGCGCCCTCGCTTAACCACAGGGAGGCCATGCGGTCGCCAGACCTCCAAGTGAGAGAGCAGAAGGCTGGGAAACTACGGAAGCGCAAAGAAGCCAGATTCTGACCAGAGCACTCGCTACCTGGGCGGAGACGGCAAAACAGCGACAAAACCCGAAGCGTGCAGGAAGCAGCGGGCGTGGGGACACCTCGAGTGCAAGGCTCCCGGGACTTTACCTGGGATCGGTCTCGAGAACGGGGCCTCCTTAGAATGAAGGCAGGACCCAGGGCCGTGCAAGATCTCAGGAGGGTTCCCTTCAACCCTCTCATACCACAACGAAACCGAACCCCTCAGCCACCTCCACCTCCGCTCCTCAAGGGAACGCCCCCAACATGCCCCAGGCCTCCGAGTTCTCGCGATAACTGTCTGGCCTTGGTCCTGTAATTCCAGCCAATCCTCGAGCGCTTGTGGGTGGGGCCTTACGTTTGAGCTCTGAGCGTTTCCTTCAATCTTCCGACTCCAGGGCCTGAGGTGGGTGGGGCTGAGGCGGGAACGGGGCGGGGCGAAGATGGGACCGAGCCAGTTCTCGCGAGACTAGCGACCAGGAAGACGCCTGCACAGTCGGCTACTGGTGCAGCGGCGGCTGAGGCGAGAGGTGCTGCTGCATTCCTGCCTCCTAGTCCGGCCTAGTGTCTAGGTGAGGAGAGGCGCGGCCGGCCTGGGCTGCCTCGGTGGTCAGTGGCTCTGGGGACCTAACGAGGATTCAGGCTGAGGGGCTGTCGAGCCAAGCAGGGAAGCACCCACACTCCTGACAGAGTAAGATGGCGGCGATGGCGCCCGGAGGTGGTGGCAGTGGTAGCGGCGTAAATCCTTTCCTCAGCGATTCGGATGAGGACGACGACGAGGTAGCGGCGACCGAGGACCGGCGGGCAGGACTTCGGCTGGGTGCCGGGGTCGGCCTCGATCCCGGTTCTGCAGGCTCGCTGTCGCCCCAGGACCCCATGGCCCCGGGAAGCAGCGCGCGGCCGGGGCTCCCGGTGGAGGCGTCCGCCCCTCCGGCGGCTCTGGCGGGCGCCGGGGAGACCCCTGCCCGATTGTCCATCGATGCCATCGCCGCTCAGCTGTTGCGCGATCAATACTTGCTGACCGCCCTGGAGCTGCACACCGAGCTGTTGGAGAGCGGCCGCGAGCTGCCGCGGCTGCGCGATTACTTCTCCAACCCTGGCAACTTCGAGAGGCAGAGCGGGACCCCACCGGGGATGGGGGCGCCTGGGATTCCTGGCGCATCCGCCATGGGAGGTGCTGGAGGTCGGGAACCGAGTACGACGTCGGGCGGAGGACAGCTCAGTAAGTAGGCGTAGCCTGTCACCCCTGCAGATGGGGGGATGTTGGTGGGCGGGTCCCCGCGTCCAGGGTCGTTTTGAGAAGCGAGAATGTGTGGAGCGAGATGAGAGGCATCCTGTGCACTGGAAGCAAAAAGATCGCGCTGTAGCTCTTCTCTGTGTTGGTTTCCGATCCTTGGCAGGTGTCGCACCGCTCCTGGCCCCCTGTTGGTGTTGGAACCTATAACATCGGAGTTTCCAGTTTATTGACTAGTATTATGGCACTCTAGAAAGCTTCCTTATGAGTTGGGCATTTTTTCTCTAAGGCAGTTTTCCTCCCCCTCCCCCCAGTCTGTTGAATCACATTACGAGGAAATAAATGTTTCTTAGTAATCCCTTGACCCACTCAAGAAAAAGAACAAAACAGGAAATGTCCATACTCTCTACTAAAGTTGAATCCACTGAAGATCTTTTGTCTTTGCTTTTCCGTCCTCTATCATTAATACATGCTAATAAAAAGGGAAATGGGATGTATCTGCTTTATAGAATGTTTAAATGGTGTCCACATAATTAAGTTTCACTACCCCAATTTCAATAGTATTCAATTTACAGGAGAGCTGTGGAACAGAGCAATGATCTTCTGCCAGCTCTCTATTTCAACATAGCATCACTGTGAAGGTTTTTTTTTTTCCTCTGAATAAGTGAGAGATTTGCTCTTTTTTTCTTTTTTTGCTACAATTATTGTTAGCAGCAGAGTAATCACTGGCCTAGTCATTATTTATATATAAGCTTTAATGAGAATTCTCTGTGTCATCTTTAAGAGACATCAAAATTTTCCACATGAATGCTAATACTTTGGTGTGTTCTGTGAACCCAACTAGAGTTTACTAACAAATAAATCTAATTGATTTCTAAGTGTCAGTTCTTTTGCATGATACCCGAGGCTTGAAGTTGCTAAAGTTTGATGTCATAAAACTGGGAAGGGTGAATTTTCTATCAGACTAATCCTAAGCACATTTCCTTCTTTTATAACTTTCTAAATTATCGAATGATTGTCACCTGACAAACTATCTCACTGAGACTCAAATTGTCACTTATTTTATATATAGTACTTTATGTACTTCCCAGGCTTAGTTTTAACCTACATCATAGCCTTTAGTTCTTTTGTATTTGATTTGACGACAGTAATGATTTAATACAGTCATTTCACTTAGTTTGGAGCCCCTGCCTCTTATTTTTCAGGAATGAGGATTAAACCTAAGGCCCTGCATATGATAGACGAAGCTGTGCTATATCTCCCTAGTGTGTATGGCAGGGGGAGGGGAGTTGTTGACAGGATGACTACTAATTGCAAAGTGAGGACTTTTCATATTTTATCATTTAAGTTGTAGATCTAATATTTGAACTTAGGTCTCTATCATAACATTGATTTTTACCACAGCTGCTATATTATGTCTTCTTTAAGACACAACTACTATATTATCTCTGCTTCAAGACACAGCTCAGCAGAAGTTAGATTTTTTCAGCATATGATAAAAAGTAAAATAACTAATAATTCAGAGTATGTCTTCACTCAAAATGGCCAATTAACACAGAAGGCAAGTGAGGTGATACAACATTGATAACATAAAGGATGAATTGAGAAAGCATTGTACCATTTTGAGGTGGGAGGATATGGATAATCTTACAGGAGCATCACTCCCATTTCATCAAGATAGTCACACTGCACAGCACTAAACTGACAGTTGCCACAGTCACAGTGCATGTGATTGTAGCAATCCAGGATCATCAGCTAAGCCTCCACAGGGAACCAAGCATGCTTTTAATAGAAGTTTTTTAAATCTTTCAGAACTTAACACAATTTATTTTGATCATATCCATCTTCTGTTTCTTCCCCTAACTCACCCATCTTCTTCATGTCTCCCTCTCCTCTTTTTAAATAACCCACCAAGTCCTTTATGCTGCCCATATACTCACTGGAGCATGGTTACCCTACCACAGGCCATGCCCTAAAAGAACTGACTCTCCCTGAGAAGCCATCAACTGTCTCTCTGGCTCCCCAGGTAATTGCGTGGACTTGTGAGTCCCGCCCTGCTCCGTGTTGGAATGCTGACTGGCTTGATCTTGTGTGGTTTTGTTCGGGGCAACACAGCTGCTGTGAGTTCATTCTGGTCTTGTCTAAAAGACACTGCTTTGCTTTGGTCCTCCCTAACCTCTGGCTCTTAGGATCTTTCCAATCCCTTCTTTTGCAACAGTCCGTTGAGGCTTCAGTGGGGTGGAGAATGTATAATATAGTTTTCTCATTTGCTCTCCACTGACATTCTTTGATCATTTGTGAGTTTCTACATTAACTACCAGCCAGATCCATGCATAATCAACTATACTCAATCAAATCATCTAAGAAGGCCAAATTAGCTTATTGATCAAGGAACTTGGCTGCACAGTTGCATGTGGTATTTCTGGTGACAGAACATGCATGGTTCAGCCACAGGAAGAATAAAACAAAGTTGTAAGCATGGGTGTAGCCTTCAAAATTGTCTTGCCCGTTTCAAAAATTACAAGTCAGTTTGTTTTTAAAACCTGCTAGTCCTGTTGTGAAGGTATGAGATTGCTCAAAGTGCTGTCATCAGATTTTTTATGTAATTTATGCCATCTCTTGGTTCTGTATTTGTGTACTACCTTAGCTCATACTTGAACTTGCATCTGAACCACCAGTTTTACCCTTATTCCATGCTTGATCTTGTCCTCTTATCTTTCCTCTTACTTTATTTTTCCCCTACTTTACCATTATTAGTTACTGTCGATAACACCGATTTATAAATTTCTTCCTGCTAGGATACAAATGTAAAGTAGTCCTATGCACAAGGTATATAATATTGGCAAAAATAGTTAAAATCGAAAAGTATGACATGAAACCACTTGTCATAGTGCACACATTTAATCTCAGGAAGCAGAGACAGGCAGATCTCTAAGTTTGGAGCTAGCCTAGTCTACAGAGCAGGGTCTAGGACAGCCAGGATTACACAGAGAAACCTTGTCTTGAAAAACAAACAAACAGACAAATAAGTAGTATGAAATGAATTAGCATGTAGTAGAGAGGAAAACATATAAACATCATAGTTGTCACAAAGAAAAAGGCACATGTGGAACTTTCAAAAATAGATGGAGGAAGGCATCAATGCCAAAGGGTAGGAAAGCCTCAATGCAAGAGAATTAATACAATTAATTTTTTATTTTTTATTTATTTAATCTGTATTTGTATGTACCCACAAGCAGAGACCAAAGGACAAGTATGCAGGTTTTAATTTTCTCTTTGCATTTCTACATGAGTTCCAGGGATGGAACTTGGGTTGTCACACTTTTACCCACTTGAGGCAGCTCACTGTCCCTACTTTTTTAGCATACAGAGTAATGGGTTTTATTATGGAATTTCATACATCCATACTTTATTTGTCATTCCCTTCTCCTCGCTGTCCACCAATTCTCTCTTATTGTTCTAGTCTCTTCCCTCCCTCTAAATTGTCCTCCTTTCTGCTTTTATGTCACATGTATTCCATTACTCCCTCTCCCCTACTGCCCTTTAGAATTTCTTCTGCCTACCATGGTCCCCTTTTTACTTTCGTTTTACTTTTTTTATACACATATAGCCCATATATACATATATAAATTTAAATCTAAAGACCATGGATGAGAGAAAATATGGTATTTGTCTTTTTGAATCGGGATTATTTCATTTAACATAGTGAACTACAGTTCATCCACTTTCCTACAGATATGATTTTAGTTTTCTTTCTACAAATATTTGTCTTGTGTGTGTGTGTGTGTGTGTGTGTGTGTGTGTGTATTGTTATGATTAGCATAGAATAACTGTGACTATGCAAGGATCTCTATGGTGTGTTGACAGTACTTCAGGTTTACATACCCACAAGTGGTGCAGCTGGGTTATAGGATAGCACTATTAGATTTTTTAGGAGCTTCCACACTGACTTCCATACTGGCTGTATGAGCATACTTTTCCATCAGTAGTGGATAAGGCTTCCT